CTAAGCGCCGAGTGCCACTTGTGATATTCCCAGGAAGAAAATCCTCAAGTCACACAGGAAGTGTTTTGTTTGGTGTTTGCAAAAGCATTAATGCCTGTTTGTTTTGGATAGCTAAGAGGAGAGCTGGATTGCTAGTGTAAGCAGGGAGAGTCACAATTCAAAGACAAAACAGAAAAGAAATGCATATAAACCTTTAGGAAAAGAGCCATCTGTAACAGCTCAAACTAAACATCATGTTGTGATCTGTGCAAACATGAGCACTGATGTCATTGTGGCTTTTTCCTGTGAGCTGTTGGGTTTCACTTCTGTATTTTCCTCTTGAGACCTCGGCCAGGGAGGTTGGCTGCAGTCCCATGGGCCTTAAACTACTTAATAATATTTGCAGCTGTGGACACAGGAACATCAGCTGCTTGGAGGTGGCTGTGTAGCCTTTACCTTGACCATAATATTTTCCTCCTTAGTGTTCAGACAGCTCTCGTCTTTCCTCTCTGTTTTCTGTGTTCAACATGGTGCACACAATAATATCAAACAGCTCAATGAGGACTTCACTTAAATATTCTGAATGGCTGGTTATAAGTCTGATGGTTATAAAATCCACTTATTCATTACCATTTCCACAGGGGGCCAATCATTTTGTTCAGGTCATTTCAAATAATCTTTGTAGAATAACTAAGAAATCAGCTGCAGGTACAGTATGCACGACAAAAGAGCTTTATTTAATTTCGATGCTTTTCAGGAAGAACAGAGTATACTCACAGACAGATGCCGATGGAACAGCTTCAGTGCACCTTGGCATTGACTCTCCGAGTCTCTGAACTCAGAGCGCTGTTTAACACGTAGCTGTAACATCTCCACTAAGTGTTCAGCTGGGTTGAGATGTGGTGACTGAGAAGACCACGGCATATGAGCCTCATCGTTTTCATACTCCTCAAACCACTCATGACTCCTCTTGCTGTTGTTGGAAGACACATTTATTCAGGTCTTTCCTTTAGTTTGTCGCCCTCCCGTATATAATTCTGACATCCCAGAAATTGTGAGCATGATTTTTGGCAACAGTACAAATATAGCTGTGTGGTCTGATGTTCAAGTGATGTACAGTATATTCGATGTTGTAAGCTGAGATGTTTAAAATGAGGGAGTAAAAGTCAGAGGAAGGACATCCTTCCTGACTTTGTATCCTGTGTTCTGCTGATAGAAGCAGGTTTTTAGAAGAAGAGACCCAAAGAAACCAGATAATTGACTAGATGAGAGTCTGTGGTTCCCCTGTACACAATACATTAAGGGACAGCAACATATGTTTTGCAGCAGTTTGCAGTACAGTTTAGAAATTGATTTCTTCTTTTCAGTGATGTCTCTCTGGTCCAGTTTCATTGTCTGATGATGTTGGGGTTAAAGTGTTGGTTCCCTGTTGTTCTCAGTGTGATTCATTGTCTCTTTAGATCAGTGACATACCCAATTCAAACACACCCTTTCCTACAAGAGGATATATTGGATGCTGTTTACTCATGTAGGCTCATGTGAGCAGCAGGGATTCTGGTAGGAAGAAGAAAAATATCAGATAGCTTTCAGAAGAAACAGACTACAGATGGCACAAGTCAACACAAACCGTAACACATGGGATTTATTTTTTATGATGGAATGCTGAAATGTGATCCTGAAGGCCACAATCCAAACATCAAGCATTTGGGGCGTGAATCCTGGAACTGGCTGCCATCACAGCCAGAGCCTAAGATAGCCATTTATTTCCAGTCCATAATTGAGGTAGTCCTAGCCTGTGTCCTCTCTGTTCTTTTAACTCTCAGCTACCCTCACAGCTCTTGACCATTTCACTCTAAAAATACAACAACGCAGTAGCATACGCGGAAGAAGCAAAGTCATCATGATGACAAGATTCTGTGGGATATGATGTGTATATGACAGTAAAACGGAGCAACACACTGTTCCACAAGTGTTTCCACACCAGTCTCCCCCCCTTTGAAAAACAGGAAGTCTTTCTAGTCAGGAGAAATACTGGCCAAGCACCTTACCTACACTCTGGTTTCCTGAGAAAGTTGGGAGGAAGCTGCCAGTCCTTGTAAAAGTGGTGACTTCAGCACATATTTGTCCCTCTCCAGTGGGCCATGACTACACAGCCTGTAAACTACCCCAGCTCTGCTCGCAAGTACAGGGAAAAATCAGGACAGGGCCGTCAGCAGAAAACACTTGTCAGCTGAATATTCTGGAAGTTTTTATAAAGTTTAATTCTGGATGAATCATAATCCTAATAAGACCTGTCTACTTTACAGCTAAGTGAGCAGTGTTCCCTTTTCTCTTTTTGGTGACTTATACGTGTTGAACTCTGTCCTTCTGAAGAACAAACTCATGCAGACTCAGCAGCCTCCCAGGTCACATGACATATGACATAGGTTGTAGGTGCAATAGTTTAAACTTCCTGTACAGTGTGCAGCACTTATGTTGATATATTAGCAAACGTGTTTAATATACTTTACCTAGATGCAAGTGTATGAATTGTTAATTAGTTTGAACTGTTGTGTTTCTTCATAGACAAGGAAACACAATATTGAATTCCATCAGTAGTTGCTGCCATGTTGCCATCTTGTGGACACAGAGTTGCACTTCAGGACACGCTCTAGTTTCCAGACATCTGTAATGTGGCCAGATGCAGAAAGTGCACACTTGGCTGAATTTTGCCATGAAGTTGCCCAATCTCAGATGATGACCTCAGTGTACCATAGAAGTATATTGTCAATATATTACAACAGTCAAGAAGTGCCTCTATAAATATTTGTTCTGCTGTAAACCTGCCTGAATGGTTGCATAACCCTGGACACACAGAAATGAACCAAGTGTCTCCAACAGTAGAAACATTTTTAAAATAAAAACACAATAAATAGCCTTTATCCTGTGGTATAAATAGTGGATATGTGCTATAAGAAAGCCTAAAGGTGGTATGACAGTGTAAGGATGTCAGTGAAGGAAAACGTGAAACATTGTCTATTCGCCATGACTGAATGTCCAGTTCAGTATGATTAGTAGTTGTCAGCTTCCATGTGCCAAGTGTCTCCTCACATTTCACGCAGCAGCCTGCCTACCTCCCAAACTATATTACAAAATTGATCAGATTTGCTGAATAAGAAAACAAAAGATCCAAACAACGGCTTTTTAAAAATATTTCTCTGTACCATGACATCAACAGGGTTTCAAATTTGACTCTTATGTGGTTTCAGTGACTTTGTTTTTGTAGTTTATGTAGTTTTCTGTCATATTTCTGTGGTTGTGCTTGGGAAATACAGTATATAGTGAGCAATCTCCAATACCTGTGATCACATCAAACTCAAAGCACAGGCATTCCAAAAATATTTCTGCCATGTGTTATGGAGACATGCTCAAGTCTGTTGCAGTGCAGTGTGTATTAGGCATTTGGACCACACAGCATAACTAAAACAACTGTTTACAGAGTAATGTCCTAATATAAGAGTTTGCTGAGATAAGAAGAAATGAATGATCACTTTTACTCATGCTTCTAAGCAGACTTCACTGACACTGTGAAGAACAACATGCACTCAGTGGATGAGTAAGATGTTTTACTTTAAACAAACACTCTGGTTTAGGAGTTTCCGAGCACTGAATCAATATCCCTGCACATGAAATCTAAGCTATTGACTGTTAAGACAGCAGCAACAGTCCTTCTGCAGTTGGATAATCATTGACAGGGTGGTAGGTTAAAAGACTAAAAAAGGGACAGACATGCAACACATTTTGTCTTGTCAAAGGTTCATCATGAGGGCTGAGGTTGTTTTCCAGCTGGGCTTCTGTGGTCTGTGTCTAACTCTGGCACTTCTTGGAGAGGGAATGTATGTATGTTTTCTTTTTAATTTAAACGATAGTAATGATGTTGTTTTCAGTCACTTCATTGTATCTAATTGGGCATTTTAGGGGAGTGGAACTGCCCGATCCACCAGCGGTCAATTGTGCATGGAATCGCTGGTCAGAGTGGAGTTCTTGTGATCCTTGCACAAACACCAGAGTGAGTCTATTAAACTCCATTGGCTACAAACCTCAAATCTAAGCCTGGACTAACTACAGTACCCATCAGCTAATATGTTACAAACATGGCTGTATAAAGCTGAAGCTACGTATTTGGCCAAAACTGCGTTAAGACCAGAATCTGGCTGTTTTACCAAAACATATTATGTCAGACAAAATTTGTAAATCTAAGGGGAAAAATACAGTTTTAGAAAACCAAACACCACTGACAGCCAATAAGCGCTGGTGCTTAGCTACAGCAAATTAGCTTTAGGAGCTTTATTAGCTTAAAGCTTGGTTCATAATTGGTTCTGTTTCCAAATGAAAAGTCAGTTCTGATGCTCTAACAGCTTGGTAGTTGAGTTTATTAAACTAGCCAAATCTAATTAAAATTTCAAAAAGTAACACCAGCCTATATTAGTAACTGCCACCCATGCAGCCTCTGAGTATGTTGTTATCTGATGTGATTAACTTTGAACCACATACTTATAGAGTTTGTTCACATGGACAAGAAAGGCCAAACGTGTAAATATGGTTTTAGGTTTTTATGTGGGGTCTGTAACAATGATTAACAGTCAGTCTAAAATGTACAAGATTCAATTCTTACAAGTTCTCACACTGTTTCAAACCCTGTTTTCCTAAATGTAACTGTTTGTGTACTGCTCTCTGCCTTTGTACAGCAGTGTACTCTACACAGATGCTTATCAAAATATATCATTTTTGATCCTCAGAGACGCTCTCGAAGTGTTGTAGTGTTTGGCCAGTTTGGAGGCGAGGCGTGCCATGGATCACTTGGGGACAGGGAGTTTTGTTTAACAAATGCTAAATGTGACGCACCACCGCCCCCAGACTGCTCAGACTTCGACTTCCAGTGCGAGTCAGGTACTTCAGCTTGTCAACTACAATACCTCTTTATATTATTTAAGCCCCATAAATTTAACTCATACCTCTGCACAGGTTCTTGCATCAAGAAGAGATTAATGTGCAATGGGGATTATGACTGTGAAGATGGGTCAGATGAGGACTGTGACCCTGTCCGCAAACCCTGTGGCTTCGCTGCCATTGATACCAATGAGCAAGGCAGAACAGCAGGATATGGGTATACAAGAATGTGTTATTAAAAGGCTAATTCAGTTGGAATCAGAGTCACCATACAGTAATATGAAGGCAAATAGAGGTAGTGGAGAGGACTTCCATCAGGACAGCGCACTGGCCCTCTCATGGTGACCTTACAAATGATGAAAATGTCATTGTTGTCAGGAAAGCAGCTTCAAAAGAGATACTTTTAATTTAATTAGTATTTGAATAATATATAAAAAACAAAAAGTATTAGATATTTGGGAAATATGCTTAGTTATCGAGTTAGAGAACATCAAACCACTTTCATGGTTGTAAGCTATAAATGAAGCTAGAGCCGGCCACCTTTGATTAGCTTAGCCAGTCTTTAGTTTAGCACAAACACCTAACCTGATACTATCCTAAGGTAAATACATCTAATAGGCCCTCTAAAGCTAAATAAGCATTTTTAAAATAATATTTTATTTCTTTTTTATTAGCCAGGCTGTTTCACCCTCCTCTCTGCTTCTCCTTGCTTATACTTCATATAGCCTGTATGAAAGGTATCAGTCATGCAAATAGAATCAAATGAACAGATTTCCCCAGAGGTGCACTCAGGAACTCTTCAAACGTATCTTAGGTAGGAATCATATTGTATATACTGTAGTCTGAACATGGCCACTGTGTCCATGCACCAGAGTCACCATCCTGGGTGCAGATCCTCGAATGAACCCCTTCAACAATGATTACTTCAATGGAAGGTGTGATCGAGTGACAAATCCCAACACTGGGCGTCACGACAGGGTCCCCTGGAATGTTGGTGTACTAAACTATCAGGTTAGAACTGTTTCTCCTAGTTTACTCCAAGGATGCGTTTACTGGGTGTTTTTGTGTAATGTCAGTGAATATTCTAAAAAACAAAAATCTTCCTTTAACCCTTTGGCTCCCTGTCATTCCAGACTCTGGTGGATGAAACTGTTTCTAGAGAAATCTATGAGGACTCACACAGCCTTCTGAGGGAAATGCTGCAAGAGATGTCTCTTACAGTTGATGTTGGGTTTTCTTTCAAATTCAGCCTAAGTGAGAAGTCTATGTCAAATTCTTCTCTAAAAGTGGGTTTGGATCTTAAATATGCAAAGTCAAAGATTATTACAGAGATGTCGCAGTACTCCAGGGCTGAGGTGAATGTAATTCACATTACAAGTAGTTGATAGCGCACACAGCAACATTAACAAAACTACACAAAAGAGAAAATGATGGTGTAAGGAATGTGTAGAGAGCATAAATACTCTGCATCTGTGCTGACTAAACCTTCTGTCCTGCAGACTCAGAACAAGAGCTTTATGAGGGTGAAGGGCAGAGTGCAGCTGAGCACCTACCGGATGCGCTCTCGTGAGCTCAAAGTGGCAGACGAATTCCTGGAACATGTCAAATCTTTGCCCTTGCAGTATGAGAAGGGTATTTATTTTGCCTTCCTGGAGGACTACGGAACCCACTATACCAGAAATGGGAAGTCTGGTGGTGAATATGAGTTGATCTATGTTCTCAACCAGGATACCATCAAGGAAAAACGTATGTGGCCCTCAGCATGGATTGTTTTGATTTTCTAAAGCTGAGACTTCTGTCTTGTGTTGACTAAATTAGAAATTCTCATTCCCTGTACTTTGTGATTCTTGCAGGTCTGACAGAGCGAAAGATTCAACAATGTGTCAAATTAGGAATCACAGCAGATTTTGGGGTTGATAAAAACCCAAATTATAATCGTGACGGATGTAATAACGTAACATCAAAACAAGAAGGTCTGCTCCCCCATCCCCCCACCCACCCACTCTTTAGAAAAGTCTAAGTCAACATTTAAAGTGCAGTTTTAAATTGTAAGTCTATCTAAAATCTAAAGGACAGTGCTCATATAAAGAGATATTCTTAATCATTCATCCTGTTTGCATTTACAGTGAAGTGATTTCTTTGTACCAACCTTAAGACACTGGGGATGTAATTCATCCATGTTTCAAGCAAAAATGCGTTTTGAAGTTTAGACAGGGCCAATATGAGGCTTCAGCAGTGTGGGTTAGGTTTAGTGCCAGTGTTTTATTCTGGCAACTGCTAAAGTGTGTCACTTTGCCTTATGGCTCAACAAGGAGCAGTCGTCTTGGGAAGCACTTCTGGATGAAAAAGACTGTAAACTTGGAAGACTGTGCTATGATAGGTGTGTAAAAATCTAAACCTCTGTTTTGTCACAGGGAAACTGTGCACAGATGCTGTGCTTGTTATAGTAACGGTAAGGTTTGCATTAATGTATCAGTTATGCAAAGTCATTAAAAGCTGGTCTGCTGTCACTACATAGGTGAAACAGAGGGAAAAGCACTGGTGGACAAGGTGATGACATCAGTCAAAGGAGGTACTCTAGAAAGTGCTGCTACTATGAGGGCTAAATTAGATAGGGACGGAGTGATGGATATCGCTACATATCAGAACTGGGCACGGAGCATCGCTGACGCCCCTGCGCTGATTAACAGTGAGGTAGGAACGACAGTCACCAGCTATTAGACGGAATTCTATGAAATTTTGTACAGACATACATGGTATCCAGAGGATGAAGCCTAATGACTTTGGTGATGCTCCTGTTACCATGACGATAGCATTTAACTCAAAGCACTGCTCTGCCTGAACGCACACAAGGCAAATGAGAGATGGAATTTTTCTGTTATCAGTTCCTGGCAAGCACCAAAATGATCCATACTTTGTTGTTTCTTGCAGCCAGAGCCCATCCATATGTTAGTTCCACTGGATATGCCGGATGCTAATGCCAGGATATCAAACCTGAAACAGGCCACAACAGACTACACAGCAGAGTATAATGTGTGCAAGTGTAAGCCTTGTCATAATGGAGGGACTCTCGCTCTGCTGGACGGAAGATGTGTGTGTCTGTGCCCTCACCTGTTTGAAGGCATGGCTTGCCAGAATTACAAGGGTGATAAAGCTAAAAGCCCAAGTAAGTATGAACATGGGTGAAAGGTACTGTAAATCAAAATAGAGTATCCCAGCATACCAACAAGGACACTGATGTGTTAATTTGGACAATGTTTTTCAGGCCAAAGACCTGATGTTAACCAGGAAGGTAACTGGTCATGTTGGTCTGCCTGGTCCAACTGTAGTGGAGGGAAACGCACCAGGACACGCGCCTGCAACACAGAGGGCCTCCTCGGAGCTGCGTGCAGAGGAGACACCAGCAGTGAAGAATATTGCTAAGCAGCTGGATGACCATTTAATAAACATCAGCTGTCTTTCTGTCTCTTTGACATATAGGCTTTGCTGTACACACACACACACACACACACCCTATATCAAAATCATGAACACTGAGATCAGAGCCATCTTGGGATTGGTAAATAGATAATGCAGTTCAGAAAACTTTGTTTTAGTCCAGGTAGGTTTTTAATTTTTGTGATCTAAATATGTGGAATTTTATTAAACAGTGGAGTTGGAATTAGTGTCTATGAAACTTAAAGGACTAACACTGGAGAGTGTAACAAACATTAACAGCCACAAAACCAGTATCAAGGTTCAATTCATAATGTGTCTTTACTGTGCACTGTTATTACAGATGTGGTGCTGTGGTCATACAAGTTTAAAGAGCTACTGTAGCTAATGTACAGCTGTACGTTGTCCAGAGGGGAGGAGTTCAAACAGTTTGTGTCCAGGGTGTGAGGGGTTTGCAGTGATCCTCTCCGCCCTCCTTTTGACCCATGAGGTGTACAGGTCCTCCATGGAGGGCAGGCTGGCACCGATGGTTCTTCATGCAGTCTGCCTGACTGTCTGCTGGTGTCCATCCATCTATTATCTATACCGTTTATCCCTGAGTAAAGTCACGAGGGGGCTGAAGCCAGTTTATGAGCTCCTAATAAGAACGACTGGGTAGTAGTTGCTCTTTATCACATATATCTGACAAAATGATGTCTGACAGATTTGTAATGGAGCAGTGCAAGGGAATGTATTATTCTGCTTGCAAATGAAATCAAGTCTCCATTCTTTATGACCAGGTGCAGCTGTGTTTCAAAGGATGTGCTGGGTGAGGAAAACCAAAGCAGTTCTGTCTCTCTGCCCAGCGTGATGACCCCATCCTCAGCTGGTGGCATGTCCCATGGAGATGCCCTGCAAAGGCCTAGAGAAATCAGTGCTGTCCTTTAAAGTGCATGTGGCCCTGGACAGAAAAATAAACAGCAGGTTCTGTTTGATTATTAATCCGATTAGAATTTGATTATAATAAGCTCCAGAAGAACGTTGACGTATTGACTACAATTAACACTGGGCGTCTTTCAAGTTAAAACAGTGTTGGCTGAACAAGATATTAACGAGCTAATAAGTCATCTTTAAAAAGATGGGCATGTTCCAGCTCACAAATGAGAACCAGATGAGAGGAAGCTGCCTGGACAGAGAGAGAGAGCTGACAGAGAGGACAGCTGGTAGACAGAGGTCAGAGATTTAAGGTGCTGGACATAAACAAAGGAACACATTATATTTCCTCAGTTTGCAATTCCTGAAATCTTTCATACATGTTTGTTTACCCAAAAATGTTTTGGTAATTTTTGATATTTGTAAAGTTTGGGAAGGAAAAGTCAGTGATGATTCAATACTTTTGGAACTAACATAGAAACAAAAGCAAGCAAACAAACAAAACAAGCAAAAGCATTGTCATTATACAAGGCTGTCCATTAGTGCTAATGATAATCAGATGAGGAGAAAACCTGCATAAAATCTCAATAGTGTTTGTATGTTCTTTCAATAAAGGGAGGGTTAACGTGTGGTTCAAGTTACTGCTGCAAAATTACATTATATTGCCAAAAGTACTCACTCACCCATCCAAATCATTGAATTCAGGTGTTCCAACCACTTCCATGGTTACAGGTGTATATAATCAAGCACCTAGTCATCCAGACCGCTTCTACAAACATTTGTGAAAGAATGGGTCGCTCTCAGGAGCTCAGGGAATCCAACGTGTTCTCTGGAGTGACGATTCACGCTTCTCTGTCTGGCAATCCCATTTAACATGGGAAGGCTGTGCAATACTGTGTGTACATGTCAGACCTGTTGTCTTGCACATGCTTGAACAGCAGGTCAAGTCTGCTTTGAAGCAGCACTATACCCAATGCAATTCCCATCAATTAGCTCTCACACTGGATAAATGGGGTGACTGTATTTGCTTTGCTTAGCAGCCTTGGATTCTCTTGTTTGCTTTTGGATTTAAAATCTGACATTTAGCGCCAACACTGCAGACGTAACTGGAGCTCCTTGTGCTGGAGACGGCCCCACAGCAGTCGGAGTGCTGCTACAGCCTTGCACAGAATTTAGAAAATGTGCACAGACCTGTAAATGGGAGATGTGCTTCGATTCAGCATTTTCTTTCTGCCTATTTTAAAAACACAAAGATGTTTTCTAAAGTGAATGCTTTAGGATTCTTCTTCTTAATCCTGTATACCATAATTCTAAATGTCAACACTGGCCAAATCAAAGGATGTTGCTGAAACCCTTTAGAGATTCCAACAAATAACTACTGATTGGGCACAAACCACACAATAACCTAAATATGAGAGTCTTATATATATATAGATGGAGCAGCTTTCTGGTCCCTCTGATCTCACATTATTTATTGCTTTTTCAGTAAACTTTTTTGGAATATTATCTCATGTCATTACTTAAATAGACAGGACTGACAAGGTGATGAATGAATACTTGAGAGGTAACCACTGGGGGCGGTGGCCCCTGGCCTTTGGGATGTCAGCACAATAGAGTAAAACTCTGGGACCTTATTGAGCTCCAGGGAGACCCCATTCACTGCAGATGGCAACCCAGCCTCAAGCCATTATCTGAGTCTAATGTGCTTTGTTCTTTCTTCAGTCCTCAACAGAACAGTGAGGACAAAATAATGAACCCCTCTTTAACAACAGACTGCCTAGTTCTGTTTTCACTCATGTTTACACGTCATATAAATGGATTAACACGTGAACCTTTGAAGCTTGAAAATTATGCCAGTGGTACACAACAGGTTAGTTTTCTAGTATAGTCCAGAATGTGGGAGGACCACATTTCCACTGCCGACATGTTGAGAGTACATGTTAGAGATGTTCCAATGGAAAATCTACAACCCCAAATAAATCAAGACAATAATCAAACCCTACATATTTTATTTAGCATTTCCCCCATACAGACATTAAAAAATGAACACTGTTCAGAGCTTGTCAGACATCTCACACAGAGAATTCAGTTTGTTCTACTTTGTAAAAATGTAACTTCTTAGTGTAGAATTCTTCACTTTGAAATTTGCAGCTCAGATGGAAACTCAGGGTTTGCATTAAAGTGTGAACCATTGCTGTCTCATCTCAAACACATATAGACCTTGCATTCAGTGAAGAAGAGGTGAGGGATATTTTTTAAATGAAAGTCCTTGTAAGGATGTCAAAGGAGCCCTGTTGAACGCCTAAACGCTAGGACACAATCGGAGTTAGCCCCTCCCCTCTGCCCTGGGTCACCAAAGGTATTGAGGTTTTAGAGTGCTGCCACGGCAGATTACTACACACAGCTGTCACAGCACCGTGGAATTGAATTTATGGCCCTGGTCAGCTATGTTTTGCAATTCCCCCTCCTCCTCTCTTGCTCCTTGAAAACTTTGCACCGCTGTTTTTTGGCTGCACTACAGGAAGGAACCGGAGGACAAATCCTACCCAGCCAGGCAGGTAGGGAAAACCTGATTGGCTGATTAAATATCCCCTTTTAGCTGATTATTAAATGTTAGCTAAGGTCTGGAATTCATAAACAATATAGCCACTACACCGCTACTCTGACTCAGACTCAGCCATCCAATCTTCACATCTCTGTAGGTCAGCAGCAGAGACAGACTTAGATTTAGTGCAGTTCTGAAGTCATCCATGGCTTCTGTAGTTCATCTAAGGACATGTACGTCCTCAAGGCCCTTGTCCTTTGTCACATTTTATATAAACCATACTAAATATAAACCAATATCATAATTCATCTTTTTTAGGTGTGATTCATAGGTTTGGCTTTGGCTTTGTGGTCTGAGTATATTTGTCATAATTAGTTTGTTGTTTAAGCTGTAATGTCGTCCATTCGTCCCCTCAGTGTGACAGTGCATTCACCTTTCAGTTTTGTTACATTTCCAGTTTTGTTGTGATCCAGTTCAGCTTTGTTGTAACTGAGAAGTCACTTTTATGCACTTGACATACAGGTACTGACTTAGCAATTATGTGTGGTTTTTGGTAAACAGAACCAAAACAGGGCTGCAAGACTGACCAGAGGAGGCTTTTACGGGGTGGCTGTGGCTCATGAGGTAGGGCAGTTGTCTCCTGACCAGCAAGTTGGTGGTTTGACTCCCGGTCTCCCTGCATGCCTAAGTGTCCCTGAGCAAGACACTGAACCCCGAATTGGTCCCGGTGGCTTGACTAGCGCCAGTACAGCCTGTTGTCATCGGTGTGTGAATGGGTGAATGGTGTATGATCTTCTGTAAAGCGCTTTGGCCAGTGCAACACACTGTGAGAAAGCGCTATATAAAATACAGTCCATTTTTACTGTGAAGATGCTGCAGGCACTGGTCACACTGTTCACCTCAATTCTCCAAAACCTCCATGAATCACCTAGAAATAATGACTAGCTCTGTCACCCCTGAACCATGCAGCACAGTTTCTTTTAAAAGATACCATGCAAAGCCAGAGTGGTCACACTGAACTGCTCCACTAGATGGCGATGAACACGCCTATTCAACCAGATACCTACAGATGTTTACAGTAGCTGTTTGCCTTGATATAGTAAGTTCTGAGTGTGCGTCCCTGTCACTGTTGACCACTATGATAGACAATCTGTAGACATAACTATAGATCTAACACTTCCGCTTGTATACATGTACAAACATGTAGCCCAGCTGGAGGCTATAGCCTTCAGTGCTTCAATGACTCTGACACCGACTTGTCCACCAGAGGCACACCTATCTCAGATAAGGTCCAGATGATCATAGAGAGCCTAAGGAGCACCCAGTCCTCACTTGAGATGGGCGATGAGATCGAGAGAAATGTGCTATCAGGACAGGATGGTCATTCCCAAGTCTGCAAGGTTGCAGTGGGCTCTTACATGGGAGTCAAGTCTAAAACTAAAGATCCCACTGAAAATCAGCAGGCAGATGTTTCCTCTATGGTCAACCATGAGAGCAGTGACTCCGACAGTGATGATTCTGTGGACAGAGGAATTGAGGAGGCAATACTGGAATACCTGAAGGAAAAAGACGATCCTAAACGCAAGGCAGAGCCAGGCTCCACTCCTCTTCAGCCAGCCAAAATTCCCAGAAAAAACCCATCTATTCCTGAAATTTCTAAACAAAGTTATCCTGACAACTTCAGAAAGAAGTTAAGGAAGACAACTACACATCGGATTATAAGAGAACCAACTGACAGCAGGACTCTGGACCGATGCTCTGAGAGAGCGTCTCCTCATGCCCCCCAACTCCCTGAAAAGGGTGACAGAGGAATAGAGTGAATGAAGCGCCCCGCATCGTGCTGCTGGACCACTGTGGATTTTTCATCTCCGTAACAGAGGTGCCTTTCGACTTCTTGTCCAATCAGTGGGCTGGAGGGCTCGTCTCCTCTCCTTGAAAAGCATCATGGCTGCCATCGGTGGTTTCTAGACACTGGAGAGCTGACTGACTCATAACATGAGTCCCAAACATGTCACTGTTTAAAATTTTCATATTGGATAGTGAAATCCTAAATCCAATAAACACATCTCTAATGTACAACAGTTTATTTTTCAGAGCAACCACTTTGTCACCACCACTTTGTACTGCTTCTTGGTTTAACTGTGATGATTATACACAGTTCTTCTGTGCTGATGGAGCCTTTAATCAGTGGATTTATAAAATGTAAAGTGGATAAATCTGGACTTTGAATTGGTCTATAAAAGATTTAGTCCTATAGACAGATCCCACGAGTGATCACTACCCCAGCACATTGTGAAACTAAAATCCCATAGTGGCACCAAAGGAGACTGGATTTTAACTGGTCACTTTTGTTTTAACCATTAAACACTATGATATATTTAATACAGTAAATATTAAGTACGTAAACAAATCAAAACCGAGATTACTCTTAAAGGGCCGACATAGCTGTGCACTCCTTCAATCGCATGCAAAACCTGAATCTTTAAAAATATAAAACAGATAAGACAGATGTCCAAAAGAAGAATCATTTTAACATCTTATTTATTTAGTGTGCATGTACACTCTGAGGAGTGTTTTCATAATGGCCACTTGATATCTCCACTGGCCTGAACATCTTTTGCTCAGTGTGTCTGACAAACACATGGGGTGAAGATCAACAAAACGACTTAACACTTCTTCACTCCATTTGTGCTGCAAATCCCCAAGAGGAGGTTGTTTACCTTTCTCCCATCTGTTTGAACAGCTTTCTGGAATTATGCAAACATCCATGTTTGCAAGGTCAAGTGTGTCGCTCTCAAGAGCTTTTTTCAGTTGCATTCAGCCACGTTTTAGTGGCTTATATCAACTTTGGTGTTCAATGAAGAGGGTGTGGAGGAAGTCTGCTAGAGCTGGTATAAAACAGTTGTTCTGCTGAAATGGACACATAAGGTGAATAAAGACTTTTAGGTACTTCTATAAAACATAATGCAGTGAAAGAATAGAACTCACCTATTCATCTACAGTGCAAATCTCATCACAACATAAGCTTTGGCAAATTTCTATACAATATACTTTATATGTAACTTTCAACCTGGCTGCCATTTTTGAATGTGTAACTCAAATATGTGTACATTTGCTATAGACGACTTGATCTGAGCCACAAACTTTGCATGTTTGACAATCCACAGAAAATGTCCTGAGTATTAAATGACTGTGCAGATCTGTAGGACGAGGTTTTGGCTGAAATGAATAGTCCGCTCTGTTAAAATGGCTGAGGGTTGATTGACCAGGAGCAAGTCTGAGTTTATGTCCTTAATGGCACCAGCCTTTCAAATACATTTGGTTAAAACCAAAATGGTGGTCAGGACATTTAGCACAGTTTGACTAGGCGTGGAGTCACTTGAGCTTTCCACATATTGATAATCTTCCTGCTCCGTATAATCATACTCAGAATCATCTTCAGCGTCTGAAAAGCCGCTTCCCGCGAACCTGTCACCGGAGTCCGAGCAGAAAGTTTTCATGGTGACCTTAATGTACTCGCATATGGTCCTCTCAATGCCATCACACACACAAGTGTCTAGCTGTTGCGCTTTCGGTATGGAGCGCATGTTGGCGATCACTCTGCGGCACCCATCCGAGCACCTTTCCCCCCCGAAAAGTTTTCGGCAGTGAAATAAATAATCCCTCATAGCAGAGTTGCAAGACGGATCCAACTCACACTGACGTCGGGCTTCCGTGCAGCCCATGGTGCTGGTCCGTGGCAGACACGGCTCGATAGCTTGCTTGGTGTTCCTGCAGACCGGGTCCAAGGCGCAGTCGCAGTCCTCCAGAGCCGGGCCGCTCTGGGTTCGATTCAGCTGAATAAGAGAGGATATACAGTGACTGGGGCACTTCATGCGTTCCCCACTAATGACAGACGCGCAGGCATGGAGGTACTGATCATAGGCGTAATGGCACTCCGGCTCTCCATGGCACTTGAGGATTGCTTTCCAGCAGACCAGCCGTCGGCTGTGGTTAGGAGATCCGACACAGAGACCGATGATTAGGATGAGCACACTGCTTATTAACACCACTGCCCACTCCATCGATGTGGCACGGCTTGCCATTTCCACAAAAGATGAAATTTAAATAGGTTAGACGTCATATGAGCATCTGTGATTCCACCACGCTGCTCAAAACTGGTTTCCTTTTTGATGGTTTCACATCATGTCGAAGTTGGTGACTTGAAGTCAGCGAGACGACACAAAGTAAGCGGCACCTCATCGTGGATTTGGCTAAAAGAAGCCAACCAGATCTTAAACGTTGCTAAATAAAGTTTCCAGTTCTCGCCAGTCGTAGTCCGCTTCTGGAGGCTTCGCGGGAGCTTGTGTCTGTCGGTCAGCGCCCACACAGGCAAGAAAAAGTTTCGAGAATTGCCGTAAAAAGATGCAGATTGATCCCACACACTCTTCCAAAGGTGCAAACAGATCTGTGTTCCGAAGTCATTCCTCCCGCTTTCACTTCCAACCTGCGTCGTGATGAAGACTCTGGTGATGGGCTGATTAGGTTACAGCAACACCCACGTCCGATTGGCCCGATGAATGCTTGTGAACCTCTCGTCACTCGCGCGCAATGACGCACGTCACTGTTCATAAACTGAGGCGAAACGGGAGCTTTCTACTTTTCATTACTTATTGTGAAAATGAAAATGACTAGTTTATTAACATACTAACCTAAACATTCTCAGAGAGTTGGTAGATTTCAAAGCACAGTTAAGGGACAGTGTAAAAAGTGATCTTACATTTTGGCATCAAGAAATCATTTAGTAAAATGGGGGGTGCAGTATCCTTATCACACCTTTTTGGTCTGAAGAAAACCTGCATACTATGTTGTAATGTTTTATTTTATTGAGACAATTTGTCATTTTTTGTTGTCTTTCATTTTTTTGTTTATCCCAATTCATTTTTTATTAATAGCAAAGATTATGAGTTATGTTCTCTGTAGTATAACCATGAATCTCTTACATATGAAGTTTGGATTTAAAATGACACTTTGTTCAGCTGCTGTGTTGTGATTTCATCCTGTATCCAACAGTCTCTCTGCATCCCCGCAGGGAGGAGTGACAGCTACTCTAACATATGCAGAGCTCTTGTCTTACACTTTCCACCATGAAACATAATAAGCCTTGAATGCATAACTGTGATACAGCATGTCCATGAACACTGCATGGACACATCTGCACACCAATAAACAGCTAAAGCTCTAATAACTCTGATTTCAACATGGAGCTGAGAAAGTGCCAGAGGACTTCTCATGGGAAACTAAAATAACACATTTAGTCATTTTTACTGCAAATCTTCTGCAAGTAAGCAGTGGTGTGAAATCATTATCTTCTGGTAAAGGGTATTTCCTAATAATTACATAACAAGGTAAAGAATGTGAAGAGGGATAACAACTGTAGTCACACACCATGTAAACAAACATTAAGCATGAGGCCATTAGGAATCTACACACAGAGGATCTGCTGGGGCCTTGAGGGCAACAGAACAAAGCATAGAAAAGAAACCCACTCACCCACTTGGATAACTCTGTCACATCACCACACTATGACCACAAGGATTTGGCAGCTCTCGGGGGACTTGCAAACCCCAAATTGCAATTAGAGATTTGAGTCAAGACATTTGCAGAAGAGTTTCTGAGCCAAATGCCCCCCTCCACGCCATCCAGCTGACATCCCAGAGCAGCAGGCTGACTGCGACATTGAAGTGGAGGTTAGAGAAAGCTGAAATAGTGAGCCAAACTACTAAGGCCAGAGCCAAAACTTAGCAGACACCCAGTAAAGGCACCGCAGTTCTTCATGTATTTTATCTTTGTGCAAAGTTTGGCTGCCTCTGACTTTTGCCCTTTGCAGAGCCCCGTGCCCTGGTGCACAAAGCCTGTACAAAGCTTTCTTTTCAACACTAGTGACTCAAACTAGGAACACATTCTGGCCACACTTGCATTTCATTTTTCAGAAGGAGTCTAATGCATAACAGAACCAAAATCCCATCAGTGCTGGATGTCAGCCAGATAAGAACAACGGCCAGATTCAGCAGAGCCAGTGGCTCTGTATGATGGAGAAAGCAGCTGCTCTCCCCCAAACTGTACCCCTTAAACTACTTTAATATATCACTAACATTCCTTACTTTTACAACCAACTTCTCAGATTGTTCTGGGATATGTGAGTCACTGATTTTAAAAGAGTACCTCTGGATATGCATCCTGTACATGCAGTTGTTCATGGCAACTTGGATATAATAGTGTTTCCAGATTTGGAACGCGGTTCCCGGGAGTAGATTTGTAAATAGTCATGCAGAGACAGACATGCTCTTCAGTTTGTCTCCACCGCTGTCAGAAGTCATTATACACAAGCTCCACTGGCAGAACCATTCACTGAACTTTGTATTCAAGTGTTTCCAAGCTCACAGAGAGGGAGAGGCGGGCGGGGGGGAGTCTGTTTTTCTGCCTGCATTTTTCATTTTTCTGTGGCTCATAAAAAACTTTGACACCTGTCTTAGACACGTCGATATTTTTCTTGTCAAACAAAAGAGAGAAATTCAAGCCTTTAGTAAAAAGGAGAACAACTTTTTGGCATGAATATGCAGAACAAGTATGAACCACGTGGCGTGACAGTAGTTGATTAAACGAGATGGATCAAATTAACTGGATCAAAGTGATAATGTTGGTCTGTAGGCCAACGACTACTGATTGGACTCCCATGAAACTTGGTACAGATATCCATGGTCCTCAGAAAATAAATCCAAATGACTCTGGTGATCTCTTGATTTTTCATCTGCTGTAGCATCAGCAGCAAGTCGGCATTTTCACTTATGCAGAAAAAGATTCTGACACAAAACATTCTGGGTTCTCAAACGACGAATCTTAATCATTTTGCACAACTTATTTAGTACATTTTTATTTACTTTGGTTTCTGACCAAATACCTGCAAAATTAACAAATTTCCCACCAGCTTCACTGCTGATTAGCAAATGTTAGCTAAGGTTTTAAAACCAAAAATGATAGCTGCTAAACCATCGGGGTTGCTGACACGGCTATAGTTTAACATCCATGTTGCCTGTGCTCTTAACAGCCTCATTTTCTCTCTCCTTTATCACACCACAGATATTTTAGGATGGCACCATGTGTTCTCTGGAGTGAGCCACGCATCACAGCAGGACAACGATTTGACTTTGAACTCACAAAAGAGAACAGTTCAAACACGTGTCATTGTGGCTGTACTCAAAGCCAAAAACTCTGAACATGGTGATGTGAAGTCGAACTGATAAATTGTTTTGTTGTACTGGCTTCCCATCAGCAAGGCTTTCAGATTCCTTTGGCTGTAGCTTCATGGAAAAGATTAACACCGTGGCAGGGAGTAAAGCTGGATAACATTACAAAAAGATTCCTCTTCTCATAGATGCTATTTCACATAATGAGTTTGCAGAACGTCAGGTGGGGCTGTTAAAAACACTGGAACATTAAACTCCAGACAGAGAAGTAGACACAAAGGAAGACAAATGATAATGGCTACTGTAGTAAATTAATGACATCTTCAGTCAAATCTGGGTTATAAGAAACAATAGAAACCCTCCTCTACAGAGGCCTCTAAGTCTGCTGGTTAGATTCCTTCCATCCACATTATCGGGTGTTGTTTCTAACTTTAATACACATACATTCTACTACATGAAGACTCTAGGCTTAGGAAGAGTTTCAGAGCTCTGATAGGGCTGTCTGCATTGACAGTAACCACATGCATGCTGATAATCCAAACACACCAGCGCAGCACCAGCGGTGGTCTGGTCCAACGGTCCCCATCGCTGACACCTTGAAATAAATCATGATCGTCTGAGTGGACTTTTTTCTCCACTTTTATAAAACAAATATCACAAAAGCCAATGGCTACTACTGTATCTGAACCTCCACAAATGAAACAAAAGGAATTGTCCCATAGGATATATTGTGATAAATAATAGATTTATTTTGTGCCAATTCATTGCCAGCTGTTTTGCAGAGATATTTTCCACAAAGAACTGATTATATACATAATGCAGGTTTCATAATTATTAACAGATCAACATTCAGTGCAATGGCAGTCTTGAAAAAGATTACTGTGCACTGCAAGCATTAATGTTGCCTAGTAACATAAGTTTAGACAAAACATTTCCCATATTTCTCTTCCAAACTGAAGTCATGGTTTCTCCCATCCAGTATCAGTTTTGCTTCCAGAGTTTTCTCCAAAGTGATAAAACGCTTTAACTGGGAAACCAGAGACATAAGAGGACATTTAAATTAATCTCTTTTAAATCATTCAGATATAATTCTGAATTTGCCATTTTGACCTTGAAAATATTAAATGACATATCTCAGCACTGGGCTGAGATACAACTGAGGGTCCATTCCAAATTTAGGTTGAGGCAATATTTGGATTTTTTTTTCTAGTTAGTCTCAGTCAGGGTGGTCTGGGATACAGAGTTTGTTTGATTTAAACATAAGAGCTCTGGGTTTGCTGTCACCATGCTGAGGAAAGCCATGCTGGTTAGTTATACAAGAGAAGAGCTGGTCAGTCTGATATATGTACGTACAGTATAGTGTGATGGTTGAAGTTGTGCCTTTTTATGGTGCAGTCACAAACTAGGATCACACTCAGTGACAAGAAATCACTTTATTCTGCAAGAAGACAGGAGGTTTCCAACCATCCTGCCCTCATCTGTGGTTCCCAACCTGACAGACAGCCTTATTTGTAAAGTCAGTAACTAAATAGGTTTAAAGATATAGTTTATACCTTTTGCATATGAACTACTGTATACACTTTACCACGGCCCTATATATTATGGGGTATTTGTTGGATTCTGCCAATCACTATTAAATGATTGCTGTCCTCCTGTTCTCTCATAATGGAATTTAAATAAATACATAAAAGGTCAAACGTTTACAGTCACACTAGCAGTTATATAAAACTGGTACCAGTACGCAGTTAAATATAGCAACAGTTTGTTTATTGGAATATGCATTATAGTAATATTTATTATAGTTCTGCCTGCAGGGAACATGAACGTCTGAACCAAATTTCATGGCAACCCATTAAAACATTCTACATGCTTGTTTGATCAATTTCTGGATGAACATAAATATGAAAATCTGCTCTCTTTGTGATCTTCTTGTCAATCAAGCACCAGCGAGCCAGAGATCGGCTGCACGAGGAGGAGAGGACACACCACTGATGCACTGCTTTAACACTTCTCATCAGAGTGGAAAATAAGCAAAGGTTGTCTGGACACAAGCTGGCATCAGTCAGACAGCAGAAAACAGCTGGTACTGACCCGTCATTGTTAGAAGGAACAAAACTGTGTTGCCTCAAGCAAATTAAACAGGAAAGAGGCAAATGTCTGACATATATCTGCTATAAATGAACTGTCAGTGTAAGCAGCCATGAGACAATGACTTGTCTAAAATCTTCTGGTATGCTACCCGTTAATAATTATTATTATTATCACCAGTGTTTCAGTCTGTTAGCTTTAATTTGACATTCAAACAAAAAAAATAATAAACAGTGATGCAGCTTGATGCAAGTAGCTCCTTTGGGAAAAACAGAAAGTTCCTATGTTGGAAATCATCAACGGCTACCATACAGCTACACACAATCAACTCCATAACATGTTCCACTTAACTTAAACTTATTTTAATAGCCTTCAAATCAAGACGTGTCAGCTTGTCTTGTCCTTACACATAAGAGCACACACGTCCATACACACACACACGCCACACACAGTAGCAA